GGCATGGCAAAGATGTTCAAGGAGCAGTGACACACGGCAAGCGGACGTCCATATCTAGCGACACAGACGAGGTCATCGAAAAAGTGCGGTCTCTGACGCTGTCCTCGTTACCGGAAGCTCCAGACGTAAGGCCCGTGATCAAGGCCATGGCCCGGCCGTTCAAGCAGATGATTATCGAACGGGCGACACCTAGCCCCAATGGCAACGGGCAAGCGGAGCTTCAATAGATTCAGCTCTCATTACTACGGGGCCGTGGACGAGTTTCTGCAAACCGCGGACGAGCTTCTGCAAACCGCAGACGGGAACGTGGGGTGCGTCTTAGGCACGCGACTGTACATGATGCATGAAGATACGGTCTTCTCTCTCCTTTTACATGGCTGGCGTCTGCGGGGATTGGATTTGGTCTGGACTGGACGGCAGGCGGGATACTTGCTGTAGATCCAAGCATAGAGACCGGTACGGCAACACTGACACGAGAGCAAGTTTAGCTCATGTGCTGTGATCAATAAATCGAGACTTTCTCTAACTTCCTTGGCGACGCGTCCGTTGCATGCGGCTACTGCAAGCCGTGGACATGGAAGGAAGCTCACCCCGGTTCAATGCGGGGGAGCTTACAAACGACGTGTTCGCCGTTGGTAGACGCTGCGCCTAGGTGATGAGGACAGGGTACGTCATGACGGCGATCTTGGCTTACCGGCTGCCTCACGCCAACGGTGCTGACGGCGGCAAACTCAAATTACACAACGCCTGAACGACTGAAAACCCACCCACGCAAGTGACACAAAGCCCTTTTGCAAAATCTCGTCGTGGCGACACCAGTCTTCCAGGCGACCTCTCCACCTCCAAGTCGCGCCCACGTGCCCTCTTTGGCGGGAACCCCACGGCACTTTGCAGCCGACCAAATCTCAGCTTAATCTCATCGCCCCTCCAGATGTGCAAGTCGGTGTCCTAAAGAGGGCAAACGCGGGCGGTATTCTGCCTGGTCCAAACCGAATTTGGGAGCTGGTGCATTCAAACGCGAAGTTGAGAGTGCGATGAGAGGGAGGGATTTTTACGCGAGTGGCCGGGGTCTCAGCTGCCATTGTCGCTTAAATATCCCTCAGGCACCCAGCACCTCGTCAAATCCTGCCACTGCATCCCCCCGTCCCCGACTGGACTTGCCCATCCTTCCCTCTTCCCCCGGGTCGACTTTCCCACCTTAACTCATCCTCTTATTCCTTTGATATCCTCAACCATCACCACCGACTTCAACATCACCAAACTCACTTAATCCTCATTTACTCTCCCTAATTCATTCCCTTGAAGACACCTCAACAATGTCTACAATGACAAAAACAGCCCCGAGCACGGGCATAGACCTCGCCTCCCTCAACGCCGCCAGCGCCGACCCCGAATCCCGCTCCTTCTCCTCGTCGGAGCTCAACGACCCTTACAACCTGGGCACGCACATCAAGTCCGAAACCGACATCGGCCTGCTCAGCACCCGCCCGGCCTCCAGCGCAGCCCGCAGGCGCATCCACCACAACTTCACCCGCGGCGGCGCCAAGGAGGCCAAGCTGCAGGACTTCTACCGCACGCAGAACACAAAGATCCGCGCCCTGCTCAAGTCCGTCGACGAGCACGAGCGCGAGGCCAAGGAGACGCAGGGCGACAATAACGTCAAGTACCAGATCGCCGTCAAGGGCAGTCTGGCCGCGAATGTCGTGCTGTCCGCCCTGCAGCTGTACGCGGCCATCTCGTCCGGCTCGCTGTCGCTGTTTACGACGATGGCCGACTCCGTGTTCGACCCGTTGTCTGGGATTATGCTCATGCTCTCGCACCGCGCGGTGAAGAAGGTTGACACGCAGAAGTACCCGTCTGGCCGGGCGCGTATCTCGACGGCGGGGAATATTGTGTTTTCGTTCATCATGTTCAGCGTGAGTTTGGTGCTGATTGTCATGTCTGCGAGGGATCTGGCGGCGGGCTCGGATACGGAGACGAATCAGTTCAATCTGACTAGTGTGATTGCTGTGGCGATTGCGTTTGGGACCAAGTTTTGTCTCTTCCTTTACTGTGAGTATCTGCTTTTTTTCTGTTCTATCTAAGTTGGGGGATGAATGCTGACAGGGCGCAGGCTGGTCCATCAAGCACATCTACTCCCAGGTCGAGATCCTCTGGCGCGACCACCGAAACGATCTCTTCATCAACGGCTTCGGCATCTTCACGTTCTCCGCCGGCAGCAAGATCAAGTGGTGGATCGACCCGATGGGCGCCATCATCCTCTCGTTCCTCATCGCCGGACTGTGGCTGAGGACTGCTTACGAGGAGTTCCAGCTTCTGATTGGTGTTTCTGCGGAGCCTGAGTTTCTGCAGCTCATCACGTACATCGGTAGGTCATTCAGCGACTTTTGTTTGTCAATTGTGTGCGGTGTTTGCTAATCCTGGCCAGCGATGACACACTCCCCCGATGTCAAGCAGATTGACACGGTCCGCGCGTACCACAGCGGCCCGCGCTACATTGTCGAGATCGACATCGTCATGGACCGCCACGAAAAGTTGGAGATCGCGCATGACGTGGCGGAGGCGCTGCAGATCAAGATCGAGAAGCTGCCTGGCGTCGAGAGGGCGTATGTTCACATTGACTACGAGACGAGTCACAAGCCGGTGAGTGGCTTTTGCCAAACGTCCTGCAGAGGATGTCCCTACTTACCCTGATCCAGGAGCATGACTTGAAGAAGAATCTGTGATGGGTTTCGACGTAGGACAAGCTGTGGTCTACGATGGATGGTTGAGAGAGGCCGTTCTTACTCTCATGGACTCGGGGCACGCAAACAAGGCAGAAGCAAGCGGCTCGACTCTTCGTATTTGGTGTTTGGGGGCAAGCATATGACAGGGGCTGGAAAAGGCATGGACTTGCGTCATCATAGAAGGTCATCGGATAGATTGTCAAGATTAGTAATGGGACTTGAGAAGCACAATGTGCTATAATTCAAAGTTGACAGTTCAATTGGAGTATGACGCCTTTGTTGTTGTTCGGTTTGTGGGAAGGCCATCTTGGCTCAACGCCTGGAATCTTTGTTGTTGTGGCAAGAATACAATGTTTGCACAGGGAGAGACCAAACTGCTGCAAGCCTAAGGTCACAGACTGCCACTTCCTTTGTGTTCGTCCATCCTACCAGGCTACCATACCACGATAAAGGCCATGGCTGTCAATCCTAACATCTCACCTGATGTGTGTATTGTGAATTGGGATCCCTCTCAGGAGGTTTGAAGTCTTGGAAGGTGCGGCCTGTGGTCCTGCACCTTCCCGAACAACATCAAACCAGCAAACAACCAAGCTGGGCGGTCAAGAAGGTGAGATTTTCCCTTCACCCACCAGCCCTAATGCTTTCTCTCAGGTCAAGCGATTTGGATCTGTTTATTCTCAACTGAATTACCTCTCCACTCCCTTTCTTAAAAAGACCTCCAGTTGAGAATCTTCTCTTCCTTAACCCTTTCACCTTCACCCACACTTCCATTACCACCACAGCTTTGTGAAAACCAAAACCACTTCACACCACAACAAACTAACAATCCCTTCACAAACCAACTCACTCTCACAACTCGTCAAGATGAAGTTCTCCAGTAAGTTCCCCTTCCACGCGCCACTCGATCAAAAACCAAAGTTCACATCTAACCAAAATTTCACAATAGCCCTCCTCACCACCGGCCTCGCCGCCACCGCTAACGCCTTCGTCATGTCCACCGAGCACAAGGCCGCTCCCAACTCCAAGCTCGGCCAGCTCGACAAGCGCGGCTGCTACATCCAGTGCCCCCTCGGCAACTGGTACTGCGAGAAGTCGCCCTACAACTACGTCTGCACCAACGACGGCCGCTTCCGGAAGGACAAGTACGACCAGAGCTGCGAGAACGCCTGCTGGTGCACTTGCGACTTCACTGCCCCCGGCATTGAGAAGAAGGATGGTGACGCTGCTGCTGCTGCTACCGAGGAGGTCACTGCCTAAAGCAACTTTGGGAATGGCTTTTCAATGAGGCATGGATACTGCTCAAGGTCTTTGGAGAAGGAAGGATGATACTTGGGAAAGGACATGGGCTTGGATGATGAGGCTTTTGGGAAGGTGGAGGCTGAGATGGAAAGAGTTGCAGCTTCACTTTTGGCCACATCACTAACTCAGACGCTAAGAATACGAGAGACAAATTGAGTCGTCAAAATTTCAGGTGAAATCCAGTACTGCAATAGTGTGAGTGAGTGAGTAATTGGCAGTTCCAGATGAAAGAAGGCAGCAAGTGTAATGGAAGGCCGCTCTTGCCTCGAAGTATGATTTGTCTCGATTGGGCACCTGCTGCCAACCTCAGGCGGAAGCCTATATGAGCCTGCCTCTTCTACTTTGCTCTCAACCGACGAGAAGAACAAAGTGGCCCAGTGGTCAGGTCAGCGCAATCGCAGCGCCCTGGTGAGCCATAATCTGATCGTTGGGGTTAAAGGGTTCAAGTGGATTGATTCTTTTGCCATTTCAACCCTTTTTTTGTCTTCGTCTTTTTTTGGCCCCTTGCCAACTCTTCCTAAGAAATACAATGTACCTTGGAAACATGACCGGATTGAGAACTTTTGAGGCTCATCACAAAATTGTTCCAAGGGTCCTTTCACAAGTTGTCGTCGAGAACCATTTGGAGGCGCTTCTGCCGGCCAATGGGCGAGCGGGGCGCTAGCGCTCTGTTAACCCCACTGAGAGCGCCAGAAGAACAGCTGACTAAGGTTGTGGCAGCAGTCATTAGGGGGCTCGCGTCCTCTGATGCAAATTGCCAGAAGCCATCCCTTTCCTCAAAACATGTCGGACACAGTATCGTCGGGGGATAGGAGACGACGATTCGCCAAGGCAAGTCCACTAATGTTTGCAGAATAATACGCATACACTGACAGATCGACCAGGCATGCGATGTCTGTCGCGCCAAGAAAGCGAAATGTGATGGGGCCAGGCCCGTCTGCAGCAGGTGTCTGGGTCTACAAGCACCCTGCAACTATGCCGACGTCAGCAAGCCAGCACGACGACAACGCCTCCGCCAACAAGCTCGCCAACCCGCCGCCCCGGGCATTTCCCCAGGAGCGCCACACCGCGGCACTAGTGCAGAGAGGAATGAGACCGAAAGACGTGCTCAGCAGCAAACGCGGAGATTTTCGGCCGAAGGGAGCTCAAGTTCGCGGCCACCGTTTGTGGGTAGTGCGTCTCCATCCGAGACAACACCCTCTGAGGATCCATCGAAAGCAGGCCGAGACTCGTTGATGGGGGCAGGGCGAGACTTACGGTATTTCGGTATGGCCGTCTTGCATCTTATTCCGGAGCTTCCAACCGCATACTAACACGGCTCAGGATCCTCATCAGCGATCTCATTGCTTCGAGCTCAACCCGTCCCATTGGAACTTCCGAACGCTCGCGAAAAGACCGCGCGGCCAGATTCGGAAGCAGGGCCCTGGTCTCTGTGGACTCACCCCAAACTACAGGGCGTCTTTGAGAGAAAGCTACACTGTCCCCTACCACCATGGACTGAGGCTTTGTCATTGGTGAATACTTTTTTCGAGCAAGACCACATGGCACTGCCTATCTTCCATCCACCGGCTTTTATTGCTCTTCTGGGACAACAGTACTCTGGAGAGTCGGAAAAAAGCCCAGCTTGGTGGACTGCATTCAATGCTGTCCTTGCCATTTCCCACCGACGACGTGTTGAACAAGGTACCTCAACGGATAAGGAGCTCATGTGGAGTTATGCGGCAAATGCTCTAGATACTGTCCTCGACATTCTCCTCAGAGCCACACAACTCATGTCGGTCCAGGCTCTGCTGACCCTCGCCTGGTTCTTCCTGGGAACCCCTAATCCGCAACCCAGCTTCATGCTGGTAGCGAATGCCATTCGTCTCGCCCACTCCATCGGACTACACAGAAAGAACTGCGGCACATCCCTGAGTCTGCTGGAAAGGACGACAAGAATTAACGTATTCTGGCTAGCGTTTTCCCTGGATAGAGAGCTGAGCCTACGCACAGGCAGACCTCCCGCGCAAGACTTTGGCGACTTTGACGTGGACCTACCTGATCTTCAGTCGCAGCCTGACTTTAGCAATAGCAACTCCATGCCTGCATCATCCAAGGTCTTCTCCGCCGGGACCCGGCTCGCGGTCATTCAGGCGAAGTTGTACTCAGAGATTTACTTGAGCGAAGGCCTCCAGCCAGATGATATCAAGAGGAAAACCACAGATCTGCATCGAGACTTGGAGGAATGGCGTTCATCCTTTGGTCTCTGCCCAAATTTGCAAAGATACCCTGAGCTAATAAAGCAATCTTCAGTTCTGCGTCTTAATTACACATACTACCACACAGTCATCCTGGTTCATCGAGCTCAAGGCGACGTAGAATGGAAGAGGTCCAGCAATTCCGAAAATCATCGGACGCCCTCTTCTAAGTCCATCGAGCGCTCACTTGAAGCCGCAAGGTCAATATTGAACATCGCCTCCTTCGTTCCAGGGACTTGGAGAAGTTTCTTATGGTAAGTCAATGACGGATGCTTCATTCAAACTTCAGGGGCTCCACAGTACTGACGTTTGTGGACTCCAGGGACGTTATTCCGATAAATGTGACAGCCATCATCGTTCTGTCGCTCCACCTCCGACGTCGACCAGGCATCTCCACTGCAACAGACGACCTGGACCTCATTTGTGACGGCGTCAGACGTCTCATGTCCCTTGAACACGAGGAGACGGAGTCGTACCTGAGACCTGTTACGACAGCTTGCCTGGGCGTCTACAATGCTGCTATCAAAGCAGTGAGGTTGCATGTAAATGGGCCAGCAGAGAATCTCGATATTGACCCGGAACGATCCGTAACAGTGCTCAACGGCACTGAGGCTGACTTTGAACGCCGCACAACTAGCCTCAGAAACTCTTGCCAAACAACGCCGCGGAGAGCCACTTCACCTTTCAGATTTGAGCCGGAACCTGACTTGGTCACAAATGCGCAGCCCCCTGTCCTCGATACCAACTTCATATCGTGGGATCAAACAATGACGGACAGAGAAATCGTGCCTTGGGAATTTGAATATCTTTTAGGCGACAACAGCTTTGATCCCCTCGGATGAACTTCATCAAGGGCTACAAAAATTAAGATACCCATTCAGGCTTCGATCGCCCCCTCCTTCCCGTTGGCACCTCCCACCCCAGGGTGGTTGATGAGAATTTGAATGCCGGTGCCAAAACTTTGATGTCATCCTCGAGACCGTACTCTTTCCCGGACATGTCCCAGAAGTACTCAGGGTGTGTGTAGAGATCGGACCGGATCTTCTGCCACGATGCGTGCGTTTTCCCAACAAGCACGCTCATGTCATCGTAATGGCGTGGTAAGAACTCAGGGTCGCGGGCTCGCAGCTCCCGCTTTTGGTCCTCAGAATATAATCCAAGCTGATAATACCAGATGTTGTACTGGGTCAAGCTGATGTCGATGTCAAAGGTCACGTCCTCCTTCGTGCGCGCTAGCAAAGCTTGGACAGCAGCTGTGGCACCCACCAGCCCAGTTTGGTAGTCGGAGTTGGCTTGAAGGATGGTTAGTTCATTCGACATCATGGAGGGGTAGGGATGTACTCACGGAGCAATGGCACAACAGCCTCGTCGAGCCCGAGAAACTTGCCTTGGAGATATGATAAGCCTACCAAGCAATCACTGATCTGCTGCCACCCAGATCGATGGGCGAGCGGGCCCTTGAAGCCGTAGCAGTTCTCCCGCATGTAGATGAGACTGGGACTCAGTATGCGCAGGGTGGCACTGTCAAACCCCAGCTTCTTCAACACCCCAGGGCGGTACCCGTCTACAAGAATGTCTGCGCCCTTCACCAGCTCTGCAAACGCGCTCCTGCCCTCGTCGGTCTTGAGATCCAGGTTGGTGTCCCTCTTCCCCGTCTGGAGGTCCACCATTGTCGGTGCGTACTCGGGCAGCTTGTCACAGGACACCCGCAGAACATCGGCCCCAAGGAGACTGAGAAGTTTAGAGACCGCCGGGCCCGCGATAACGCGTGAGAAGTCGATGATTCTGATGCCGGCGAGGGGCTTGAACCCAGATTGGTCCTTTACCCTAGGCCAGCCTTTCCGCGGTGCCGGGATCTTGGTGGCGCTCCACAACGACTCTTTTGACATGATCTTGCCATGCTCGCTGCTGAAGAACTCGTCGGGCGTGTAGCAAATCACACCAGCTTGCTTGTACTGCTCATTGGCCGTCTGCTCGATATCCTTGGAATCCCACTGGGCGACCTTGTCGCTGTAGATCTTGATCGCCTCCTCGGGGCTGACGTCGACATCGCTCACACCCATCATCTTCATCGTCGGCTCAGCGTTCATGGACCCGTGCAGGTGGTACCACCGCCCGTCCTTCGTCTGGTACACGTTGGTCGCGTACCGTCTGATAGGGTCAGACATCCGGTGCAGATCCATCTTTGAAAGCTCCTTCATCATCTGGGGATGCTGCACGAACGACTTGCCGCCGACTCTGGGGAGCAAGACGGATTCCAGGAACAAAGTCGCAGCGTCGGTATTCACCTGGACATCCTGGAGCTCAATGCTGTACCTCTCCGCAGCGGCGACGTTGGCTGCTGTGGCGAGGAGGGCTGTGAGAGAGGCGCATGACTCCGTGATCTTCAACGGCGTGAGGACGAATGGTTTGTCGTCGTCTGCGACGAATTTGACTTTCTTGGCGGCGTCTTTGAAGGAAGTTGGGAGGTTGAGGCCAGGGTCGGCAAGTAAGACATCGTTCAGGATGCGAGTGGCCTCGCCGGAGATGGTGTAGTTTGACATGGTGATTATTGCTGACCAAAGTTGGACTTTGATAAGTCCGAGAGTCCGCAGAATGTTTTGCTCTCTGGATGCACGCCATTTTAATGAAGAAGATTCACACCGATAATTGCGGTCATGATACGGAAATCGTTCACTAGTCCGAGTCAGAAGACCCGTACGGTCCACACTGTTTCATGGATGCCAAAACTCCGGTGGTGGGCAACTTCGACTTACATCCCTCGGCCGAATGCAACCGTTGTCTGACGGGTTTCGATATCGGGCTCGACGTTGGTACTGTTTGCTTGGCGTGAGCACGCTGTTTTTGGGTTATCTTCAGGGCCAATATCCACTTCTTTCCAACAACATTCTCATTAGTTCAGGATCATCAACATCAACTCTTCAGTTTTGTTGGACAGCGCACCGCTTGTACAAGCCGAGGCATCGTTAAAAGCCTGGGCCACCCATTATGGGGTCGGAGTTCTGGCACCGGAGTTTTAGGGCGCGGAGTTCTGGCAATAGAGCTTGGGCGCCGGAGTTTTGGGACTATTGAGGTCGAACCCACTCCATGACGTACCAAAAGCAACCCCAACGACAACCACGTAGAGCGGTCGCATGCTTCGGACTTGTTTAGCCGAGAACATTGATTGGAGGCGAGTCAGAGAAGTCCGTGTCAGTCCTGATCCTAGTGCTCCGCTGTATTCCATTGCTTTAAACTCATCACCGCCTCAATTCGGCATCGATTTGGGAGCCGGGAGGAATAATAGTGCATCTCGTACATCTCTAATTCCATACGACTCCGGAAAAAGATCCCGTGGCTTACGATGGCTTCAAACGACAACTGGAGAACTGGGGCGAAGGGCATCAGGCCTGTTCGGATTGCGAACTGCTCTGGCTACCATGGTAGGGCCTTGTCAGCTATGCGTCCCGCTCAACTGTACTAACAAGTCTTACAGGCGACCCGCCAAGAGAAATGTACAAACAGGCAACTCTCGGAGATGTCGATTTCATCACCGGCGATTACTTGGCGGGTATGTCCAACTCATTATTCCCAAGGGTCTGTAATATGCTAATGAGATCTCAGAGGTGAACATGGCCAACAATGCCGAGGCTTATGCACAAGGAAAGCATAACGGCTATGAGGAGACTGCCTGGGAAGGCTTGCTGCAAGCTATTGACGTTATTGCGGATAAACGCATCAAAGTTGCAATCAATGGAGGGGCCCTAAATCCCGGAGGCCTTGCCTCGAAAGTGGCCGATTTGGTGTGTAACTCGAAGTCCATAAACTCGGTTGACAACTGACCCCGGTTAAGGTGCGTGAGAGAGGCTACGACCTGAAAGTCGCCTATGTTTCTGGGGATAATGTCCTACCGAAATTGGGAAAACATATGCCTCAGCAAAAAGAGGAAGCGCTGGCTCATCTTGATTCTGCTAACCAGCATGTCACCTTGACCTCCGAGTCGTTCATGTTCACCAAGAAAGACAGAGAGCCAAGAGAAATCGTCTCAGCCAATGCCTATCTCGGCGCGCATGCCATCTATGAGGCCCTGCAGAAGGGCGCCGACATAGTCATATGCGGCCGGGCTTCAGATGCGAGCCCCGTCATTGCTTGCGCGTGGTACTGGTGGTCTTGGAACAACACGAGCTACGACAAATTAGCGGGGGCTCTCGTCGCCGGGCACTTGATCGAGTGTTCGGCATATGTCACAGGTGGGAACTTCTCAGGATTTGAAAACTTCGACCTCGATCACTTCGTCAACCCGGGCTTTCCAATTGCAGAGATTTCACAAGACGGAACATGTATCATTACGAAGCATGCAGATACAGGTGGTATGGTGACCGTTGATACCTGCAGAAGCCAGCTTTTGTACGAGCTTCAAGGCAATGCCTACCTCAACAGCGATGTCAAGGCATACTTGGACGGCGTTGTGATGGAGCAGGTGGAGGATAATAGGTAAGCTACAAACACTGCGATTGTGAACGAGACGCTGAACAGCTTGCAGAGTTCGTGTTTCTGGGGTCCGTGGTGCTCCGCCACCAGATACCACAAAACTTGCCGTCTTTTACAAGGGTGGCTATGAGCTCCAGGCTCTGTTCAACGCTACGGGTCATTCTTACGAAAGGAAGGCTGCCCTATTTGAAAAGCAGATCAGAGCTCTGATCGGGGATGACACCTTGAAGGATTTGGACGTCTTGGAGTTTCAACGGTATGATAGCCACGGATTAACTTCATATTTCTTTCTAACAGAATACAGGATTGGCGTTCCTGCAAGCAACCCGACGAATCAGAACAGCAACACGATTTACATCCGCGTTTTTGCCCAGTCAACTAAGCCGGACGCCCTCAACGCGATCAACCGCGCAGTACGTGACATTTCATTGCGGCACTATTCCGGTCAGTATTGCAGCTCTTACACCATAGAATCATTGGACAGTATTGCTGAATGAGAATGATAGGTTTTCACGCCTCCTTGGACTCGCGCGCGTTGGCTCCACGTCCTTATCTTGCATACTATCCCGCACTATGGCGGCAGCACGATCTTGAGGAGCGTTTCCATTTCGTGAATCCGGACGGCACAACGACATCCTATGACACGACACCACCGCCCAAGTTTGAGGATCTTGGTGATCGTGAATCATATGACACCAAAGCACCTGTGAAGATCCAAGGCGACCTGAAAACCGTTCGTCTTGGTCAAGTTGCCCATGGGCGCTCCGGGGACAAGGGAGCCAATCTGAATTTCGGATTGTACGTTCAAACACAGGCCCAATGGGACTGGCTGCGTTCGTACATGTCTCGCGCCAAGGTGCAAAAGATGATGGGGGACGATTGGCAGGCAGACTTCTCCATCGAGCGAGTTGAGTTCCCGGGCATTTTCGCCGTGCATTTTGTTGTGTATGGTATCCTCGGGCGTGGTGTCAGTAGCTCTAAGCGACTGGATGGTTTCGGGAAGGGATTCATTGACTACTTCAGGGACAAGGAGGTGGAAGTCCCGGTCTCTATCTTGGACACAACGATCGGTGGTTTTCAAACAAGTAGACTCTAGCTCTGTTCTTTCGGCAATTGTGATATTTGTCAAAAGAAAAATCGAAAGTTCAGAACTCATCACAAATTCAGAATTCACGAATCACAGTTTCATTCATGAACCATTGGTTCATCCCATGTCTATCACCGAGTGTTTAGCTAGCACTTAGCATTGAACGGAGTTGGGAGAGTTTACGGGAATTTCCTGGTCCCCGACACCCCGAAACCGATCCAAGAACGGCAATAGTACCGGAATTCCTTACACACCATGTTGCCCCTAAAACCGGAAAATCGTCATTCAGGCGGCCAGCTGTGGGATATTGCGGGGTAGAAATACACTATGTTTATATATTTCCATGCTGATCATGAGCTTCCAAGTCTCGTGAAGCTACGACGTTATTGCTTAGCCTGAGTCTGCTGAGTTAGGTCTCATTACTATCAACGTCAAACCTACCAGCAGTTTCAACTCGACAAGACCTTGTTTTAAATCACAGATATGGAATATGACACCAGAGAGAAGATTGAGCCGTTGGGAACCATTGAGTATGTGACCACTAGTGTTCAGAATTTCAGTTCTAAATGTCGAATCTGCCAAGCACTTCGGTCTTGAGTCAGGAGCTAACGTTCAGACAGTCCCGAGATTGATGCGGTTGGTGAGGAGTCTAGACGCTTTTGTCATCTTGCTAATATAGCCAGTTCATCAAAGCCCACCCAATGCCTTCGTTTGGCGGGACCCAGGATGTGATGCGAGAGATGATGGAGGCGGCAAAGACTGCCCGGAAAGACTCGGACATCGAATACTCAATCAAAATCACCATGAGAGATGGCTATCAGTCTGAGACTCGCATCCACAAGCCCCCCTCCCCAGACGGGAAGCACCCGGTTCTCGTTTTCGTCTACGGGGGTGGCTTCATCATGGGAGACTGCACTCAACTGAGCCCCTACGCGCGCATTGCTGCCAAGCTGTTCAACGCCGTCGTCGTCAACATATCGTATCGCCTGGCGCCAGCCCATAAGTTCCCGACGGCGCCCAACGATGTCTGGGACAGCCTCAAGTGGATTGCAGCAAACGCGCATACCTTCGGCGGCGACCCGGCTATGGGCTTTATCCTGGGAGGAGCATCTGCTGGCGGTAATCTGGCCGCAGTCACAGCTCAAAAGTCCCTCGATGAAGGGCTCAGCCCACCCCTCACAGGAGTTTGGCTCTCAATCCCCTACATACTAGAGGAAGAAATCGTACCTGCCAAGTACAAGGACGTTTGGTTCTCGAGGGAGCAGAACGCGGCAGGACCGGTCATTGATAAGGCCAGTATGGAGTTCATGGGGCTTGCCTACTCCGCAGACATGAAATCGCCTGACCTCTCACCTTTCAATGCCAAGGATCCTCACAAAGGGATGCCACCTGTCTATTTCCAGGTCTGCGGTACAGACCCGTTGAGAGATGACGGTCTGGTTTATGAGAGAGTTTTGAGAGATCATGGGGTCAAGACTAGGTTGGACGTTTATCCCGGAGCTCCTCATGGTCATATCATGTTTCCTTGCAAGCTGTCCACCAAGTGTCATTTTGATACTTTTAACGGCTTAGCTTGGCTGCTGGGAAAGGAAACTCCCAACCAGGAAGTAATCACGCAAGAACTTGCCGTGAACCCAATCATGTCAGTGTAGATGCATTTCCATACAAACCAGCAACCAAACCCGGCGAATCAAATTATGCAAGTAAATATTATTTCGGCAGGTAAACCTGCAAAGACCTATCAAGAATCGGCGACTTGTCACTGTTGTTTGTCCCATTAGGCACCTCCATCAGTGAAACTCAAGGACCATGTCTCTCTCTGATTTGCTCCTTCGAGTGTGCTGTCCTCCTGTCTGATGTGATCTGGCCCATGAGACGTCTCTGTGGTCCGCCATCAATCTGTTGGACGTTCCCATCATCATCGGTCACTGAGATCATGTGTTTCAATGCCTTCACTCCTGTTTCCAATTATCATGGGCTTGGACTTCCTAAGCCGACATGTCGTTCTTTTCTGTGATTTCGTCTTTTCGACTTCCGTTTTGGCTTTCGACATCGAAGCATTTCTCTCTCGTAATTTCGTCATAAAGTGGCTCAAACTCCCTGATCTCGGGGAGAATAGTATTTCTCCGGGTTTCGTCCGCTTTTAGTTCTTTTGAAATTTCATCTAGCGGCTTCGATGTGTCGGTTGCGACTGACAAATCGACGACTCTGGTGTGGTATGTGTTCAGTACGACATCGTTCGAATTCTCATTGTTACTCTTTTCGTATCCAAGAGTTGATGCCTTTTCCCTGAAGAACACTCGCAGGACTGGTATCGAACTAGCAACAATGGCGGTTGCTGTCTCGACAGCTGTCCAAATCGTAACGTCCATGCCGTTAACTGAAAAGAATAGTCAATAACTGAGACCAAAAGCCCACTAGTCGGAGGTGTGAAACGCACAGAAAAAGTCCCCTTGTTCGAGTTGGACAAGATAGACACCTTTTGTGATGGCACAGACACCAGACCTATTGAAGGCTATGTCAGCTTCCAGTTTCAATGATTTAGCCAGCACAAGAATGGACTTACAGCCATCCAAGACTCATAGCGACACAGATACCAAGCTTCTCATGCTTGCGCATGCGCATTCCCCAGATGAGCTTCCAAGGAACCAGAGCCAACAAGAAGTCCATAGCAGCGCACCATGCGGCGTTGAAGATCCCGTAGTTGAGGGTGATTGATTCGTCCCAACACGTGCCCTCCATCTGCCTGTTGAAGTTCTTCTGTACGGGCGTACACTTCAGCCAAGTGAGAGTTGCACTTGGCAACATCACAAGTGTCAGAGTGACCACGGCAAACCAAACGAAGCCCCTAAACCATCCGCTTGTAAGGCGCAGTAACGTTACACCGAATCCAACTTTGCTGCCCGTTGAGGCAAAACATGATATCGAGGCGCCGATGGAGGTGTACATCGCTATCGTGAGGAGATTCGTCTGGGGATTGACATCGTAAAAGTGGCGGCCGAAACCGAGATTAATCCCCAATTGGGTGATGATGGACTCGACGAGGAGACATGTCTACATATCAAGTTAGCTCAAGGTGTTTTAACCAGGCTGGTGTATCGGTAACTTTACCCATGAGAATATCAGGATCCAATCATCCCACCACAGCTTCTGATGTCGACTCAACTTTGCGTATATACGCAAAGCTAGAAAGGCGCCGCAAAAGAAGCAAAGAAACCACGTTATTCCTCCGATCAGTGGCCCCCGCGTCTCGATCTGCGCCATCGCTATCGCATCGAGTGAAGCCTTTCAACCCCGGCGCCAACGCGAGTCGACTGCGGGCGTCAAGTCGTGAAATGAGTGAAGTAGCCTAGATGGCTCTAGGATAAAGTAGGAAACACCCGACGCACAGAGGCAGCGACATCCTCCCAAATATCAAAAGAAGTCGACCCAGGTCGTCCTGGACACACTATGATATCCCCGAGAGCCGGTGCCACCGCCTGGAACTCGCGCGCTTCATTAAGGTTCATCTTGCGGCGCACGGCTACGGGAAGGAGGCGGGTTGTTTGTGCCCGATGAGGCGGGTGAGCGGGAAGTGCGGTCTTGAGTGCTGAGAAAGACATTCGATGGCAAGAAGCCGGGGAGGCCGCTGTCGGGATATTTCATCCAGAGAGGACGCATGTCGGCGATACAACTCGACTTGGCCACTTCCACGGAAGTCCAGACCATGAGGCAAGGTGTCATCCCTCGGGAAGTAGCCGATGGTGTGAAGAGGTTATCTGATGTATGAACTCTATTATGAGCTGATTGACCGTGTTGGTCGAAAAGACTGCCTTCTTCACCAGATGCCTTTGACGAATCAGCAAGGATGTGTTGGCTAGGTGAGTCAGTTCTTCGGAGTTTAGATCACCAAAATGCCCTTGGCCTATGAAACACTGCAATGGACGAAGCGTCCCAGGTAGCCTAGAGCCATTCAATGTTTCTTGTTTATCCCTTTACTGCCAAGACATCTCGTCCAGGAGGCTCTAACAAATGATAACACGCAGATATTTTACATGATGTGCTTAGATTTCATTTGGTTTCTCCGACCTAACTTTCAACGGTTTACCGATGCAACGCTGGTCAGACTGGACAGTAGTTGGCAGCCACTGATTTTGTTCTAGGTGCATTCGAGATGGCTGCTGGGCATCAAGCGTCGGAAGTAAAACTGCGCTCAGACACCGAGTCTGCGTCACAATCTGCGAGAGAGTTCCTATGATCAGATGTTAGAGCGAATGCTCTCGTGCCGCTCTCGCTTCGGTTTGTTGCATGGTTTCATAAAGCTTCTAGCCTGGGGCTGACGCTGAAGTTTAAATCAAAGACGCAGCCCTATGGCAATTGAAGCCGACCACCCCTCGTTGGGTAATGAGATGGCGAGATCAGGCGGACATTATTGCTCCGCATAAGGCCTCAGACTGTGGTGAGACCCCGCTGAATCTGGATGTTCACGAACTTGAAATAGCCAAGACGGAGCTTGTGGTATCTTTTTGGCATGTTCCGATGGTCGTGAACGTAAGAACATCGATGAGTAAGAGCCGTAGAGTCAGTATTGGCACTGGAAACCGCGCCCAAGGTCGGGACCAACACATGATAAAGTTTATCTGATCTTTTGGTCTTTGAAATTGAAGCAGCCAGTAACCCGGATACATCTCCGGGCTAGTGTTTTCATCAGGTTCATGCTCCTTGAAGATGTTCCGGCTCGCTCAATGATTTGCCTCAGAGACCTCTTGGCGCGCTGCAGAAGACGTGGCCGCCACCACTAGCATGTGAAGCCTCATCATTTCGACTACGATTGATAAACATTCATAATGTCTTACGTTCTATAGTATCGCGACGTGGCGGGAACGAGACGGTCATTCATATCCCGCGAAGTCCGTCTTCACAGTTCACGTCGGCAACTGACCATTAGCCGTTCGCAATGGAAATAGTGGCATTCTGGGGCAGAGTGGGCCTATCTCGGTACGGACCGATAGATGGACCTCTTCTCGGGCTGAATAGTGTTGCATTCCATTTGACCCTGGTTTCATGGGTATGGGATTACTGTAAGTACTGCGGTGCTTCTTCATCGACCATGTTCATTTGATGATCACTTAATTGCCATCGTGTGAGCAACCAGAAATAATATGAGGTGGGTTCATCTCAGCTCCTGTACTAGTTCTGGCAGCTGAGAAATAGAACTCAGCTGAATCGAAGAGCTGTCAAGATCAAAATAACGACGCAAATGAAAATGGAAAACTTATCCGCCGATCAAGTGGAACGGCGAACACCGAAATGTAAGCGGAAGTCAATTATCTGGACCAAGCTGCGGTACTAGAGCTGGAAAGTTTCGCTTCGAATGGTGTCGGCTTGTGGGGGTCTGATGCACCGTGGTGTCTGGCAGGGGCCAGAAGGCGCAATTGTCAGTCGACAGACAGCGTGATCGGGCGCATGTCGCAAGAGCAGAGGTGGCTTCATTGTGTGGGTGTGAAGGCTGCGCTGCTGTCGGCCTTGACTGAGCGTTGTTGGTTTCATTGCAGTGGTAACGCAGGGGGTCCGTCTGGCCGGCCTCTGTCATGTCTGGCAGCGGCAAAGCTCTTGGCATCATTTTGGGGGCATCTTAGTGATCATGTAATTGCAGTGCTCACTGAGCGGAGATGGGGGCAGAATAGATGGCGGGAAATGGGACTTTTGCTTGCGCTACTAATCCGAGCTACGGATACGTGCAGACGCGACCACGACTCAGCACTCCAGCACCGGACTCCCAAGCATGATCTGCTAACTGCGGTCAAATCTACAACTTACCTTCATCCACCCCAACAGTCATATCGTGCCGTGAGAACACCAAGCTTCCTATTGTTCAACAGGCTGCAGGAACGCATCGCTACGCATGTCTTCATGGAATGGGGGAAGCATGGGTTTATGCGGGGCAGAGGCACAGGAACATGCGCCCGTCTCTCATGTGATGAGCCAAGGTTCGCAATCCGCCCGATGAATATGGAGAGGCTCAGCAATTTACAGCCGCCGCCAAGCTACCAAAGTCCATCCATAAGCGCAGTGCGACGAACAACTGATCCCAGATTTTGAGATGAAGAGGGCGGAGTTCCTCTGGAGTCATCGCTTCTTGCCGCCCTGCCATCAGCAAGAGTTCAGCCCAAGACAGCGAACGGACCAGCGGTGCTTTCCTGACTGAAAGTCTGTAGCCCTACTTTTCCGCTCTTCAACGGGTCCTTTCCCCCTTGAACACGCTCTTTCAGCGCTACATTCCGTCACTGCTACGCCATACTGAACCGTGCTGAACATGGAGCCCCCTCAAACGAGCCCAAATTGGTACTGCGTATCCAGGCCCTAGTCTTCGTCGATAAGACAGGCCAATTGGATGCGTCCGCTGAGAGCAGACTAACATTTCGGTTGCGCATCTCACTTTTTCTGGCGCAGGCTGTGCCCTTGAAGTGCCATCCCGCGGCACCCGTTGCGACTCATGCTAAGGTCCAACACGTGCCTCTTCAGTCTCAAGATGGGAAGAAAAAGGCCACCATCGACCATGCCATGCAGCACAGTCAGTGAAGCTTCTCCGCATTGTTCGATTTGGAGGACATGTTACAGGACGCGCGGCGCGCCAACGTTCTTTGGGAGAATATTTCTTCTATCCTATCTTACCTTTGCGCCCTACAACGCTTCATAGCGGTGTTGAAAATTACTGGCCATGTTCTCTGCCAGAGTTACCGACGATCCATCCTCATTTGCCCTGATAGTGGGCGAACAGGACTTGCCGAGTTCTTCGGCAGCCCACAGGAGAAGGTTTGCTTAAACGGAGACAACCATAGCTTTTCGGTCCACTTGGCGGCGCATTTTCAGAAGGTCTCTCAGGGATCATGCGAACTGACGCACTGCGACCCTAATCAATCTGTTAACAGAGAGGATCCGCGTCGCAATGGAAGGTTCCTTGATGTCCTGCAAAACAGCCGCTGTCTACCCCTGACAAGCGCATCTTCACACCCCACCGTCGCGAGTTATTCTTAACAATTCTCTCGCTGGCCCTTGCAGAACCATCGCCCTGCCAGAGCTTGATTCCCTGCCAGTCCCCGGTTTTACATGCCACCTCAAGTGCCCGTACGAACCGTGAAGCCGGGGTGTCTTTTACATGCTGATCCCCCCCGCCGCGACTCGTAGGTCGTCGCCAAGCGGTCTGTCCTTTTCCTTTCTGTGCCAGCGACTCGACTTGGATCGATTCTGCGAAAACATGATCCCTCGCCCGCGCAAATAGACCCTTCCGCGAGATCGAGAAGCGACGGTCATCCGAGAAACACCCACCGCGCCGTATTTCGCATCTTTCTTCGCCTTGCGCTATGGCGGTCCGGTCGACTTTGCGCCGGGCGCTGGCGTTCACCGGTTCCGGCTCCGGGCTCGTCCCGTGTCTCACAGCGCTCGGGCTCGTCCTCTTCCAAGCCGGCTCGGCAGCAAACATCTTCGACGCCCGCGAACGAGGGCAATTCAACTTCTCTCCGACGTCTGCGTTAACGATTTCCGAGTTCCTGAGGTTTCTGATTTCGACGATCCTATTCAATCGCGAAGTGCGCAGACGAACGGCGAATGGCACCGAGTATTCTTCGCTCGGCGAATCGGAAGAGTTGGATCTCGACAACTACGACAGCGGACGGTCGTCGCTCGAATACAACATCGAGAAAGTTTCAGCGCATGAAAAGATTGGAGGTGTAAGGGCGCTGTGGCGCTTCGTCTGGGGAGATGCGGGTGCGGAGATCAGATTTGCTTTTGCGAGGATCGCGCTTCTGCAGATGATTGCCAGCAACTTGGTATGATTGGAAGAGCTCTACCTACCATGCAGTTGTTGCGCATGAAGAAAGCTAACGTGATATCTCTGCCAACCAGTTGTTCCTCAACTATCTAGTGGCCGACCCTGGAACTGTCCAACTGATGAAGAGCGGCATTGCGATTGGCGCCGCTCTCTTCGCGACGCCAGCATTTGGGTTGAGAGGGCCCAAGACAAGGTGGATGGCATTTCTGATCCAGGTATGCGGTTTTAGTATCTCCCGGCAAAAAGGCTACTAACAATTACAGACCTCAGGCTTGGTCCTCTCCCAATTCTACCCGCAACATCGCACGAGAGCTTCGACATACCAGTTGCACCTCTATTTCGCTTTCGTCGCACAGTCTGCTTTTAGCTCTTTGTCTGACATCTATGGAGAGAAGTTGCTCAAGAACACCGAGCTCGGCTCAAATGCATCCAACATGATCCTGGGCGCATTTGG